TCACATATATATAGATAGGTTTGCATTTTACACCCTTTACACCCTTTACACCATTTTCACTAACTATGTTCTTTATTTTGCTAGTTCTTCTTTTCCTTCTAGCCTACATATATGTATTGTTTGCTTCAGCAAAATGATATTATATTCTATGTTGAAAAAAAAATGTCACATGGCCGCTACACCGCTCCGTACCTGCCGCCCTTAGTTCACCTGGGACATCGGATATCTATCATACAACCTTCTTCAGCACATCTTAACCCCCACATTTCATCATGGCACAACCTAATCCAGTGGTTTTCTTTGATATTGCCCTTGGAGGTAAGTTCACTTATTTGCATGCTCTCGTGGGCTTGGCATCTGAGTAGTCATATAAACATGACGAACTCTGCTAAGTAGTATATTCAATACAGGCGAGTCTCTCGGTCGAGTGAAAATGGAGTTGTTCGCCAATGTCACTCCCCGAACTGCGGAGAATTTCCGCCAATTTTGCACTGGCGAGAGCAAGAACGCTAAGGGACAGCCCCAGGGCTACAAGGGAAGCAAATTCCACCGAGTGGTATGTAAGAAAGCTTCTTGGGTATCGATCCAGAACTAATGCTCGCTGCAGATCAAAGATTTCATGATCCAGGGTGGAGATTTCATCAATGGCGATGGAACTGGGTCATGTACCATCTACGGCACTTCGAAATTTGCTGATGAAAATTTTACTCTCACACATGACCGTCCCGGTTTATTAAGTATGGCTGTAAGTCTGAACACCTCGAGACGGGGATATCTATCCATACAGAAAAGGACTCTTCACTGACAACACCAGAATTCGGGCCCAAACACCAATGGTTGCCAATTCTTTATAACAACCACGGCCACACCGTTCTTGAACAACAAGCATGTGGTCTTCGGCCAGGTGATTGATGGGATGGATATTATTAAAATGCTTGAACACACCCGGACCACGAAGGATAAGCCCAATCAAGATGTAACGATTGTGCAATGTGGAGAGATGTAAGAATTATTATGATGGGGGTGATATTTGGGAAACAGCTACGTACTACAAATCTATAGCTCCCAGAATTGCAAGAAATGACTTTGAATCATGGAAACATATCAATTTCATATGGCTTTAATAACCAGGACTTTTTTTGGACAGTTCATAGTGGTTGGCACAGACGTGATATCTTCCCCAGAACAAAAAAAAGACTTTCACAGGATCAGGTTCTCAGGTCTAGAGCTTGAACTTACTCAAGTAGTCCGCAGCCAGTGAGATAGCCTCTTCGACCTTGTCGGGATTGGTACCGTTACCAATGGAAGTAGCACCCTTTCCTCCGGCTTTTCCTCCCACGGCGCCAGAGACGACGGCTGCCCAGTCGCTTGCGGAAGCACCTTGCTCACTCAGTCCCTGTGTCAAAATCAGTATAAAAGTCCATAAATGATAATATTTCACTATTCGTTTCCCTAAAACCCAAGAGGGATAAGACTGATGTGTCCTGTTACTCACCTGAGAGATGTAACATCCGTGTGAAACACGACCTTGTTCAGAGTCGGCCGCCAAAACATAGACACTCTTGCCCTGCATCTTTGATTTGACATGGTTGAGAGATTCACTGACAGCCTTGGCATTGGCAGAAATCGGAAGCTCGACCACAAGCCACGACTTGTCTTGATTTTCAGGAGCCTCGAAATAGGAGTTGATAGCGTCGAGTGCTTTCTTCGATTCCAGCTTTTGTTGGGCCTTCTGGCCATCGAGGACCTGCTTATTGATCTTGGCAAAACGTTCACGGAACTTGGCCTTTACGACGGCGGAGATTGCGAGCTGGTTGAGATCCACCTGGACTTGCTTAGCCTCCTGCTCCTTCTTGGAGCCCAAAGGCAATGCATTCAGCCGATCAAGGCGCTGTCCGAATTCCTCGGCAACTCTCTGCACCGCATGTGCGTCCTCTCCAGTGACGGCAATAATTCGGCGAATTCCCTTGGCAATGCCACTTTCTTCCAGGATGATCAAATCCTTGATATCGCCTGTCTTCTGGACATGAGTTCCACCACAGAACTCAATGCTGACTTCCTTCCAGCGGGGATCCTTGATATTCTGCAGGATTTCCTCCAATTCCACGCCGACAGAGACAACACGAACAGGATCGGGGTAAGTCTCGCCGAACACGGCCCGAACGCCGGGAATTTGCTGGGCAGTGGCGAGGGGAAGGTCTTTGGAGTAAACAGTACAGTTCTGTCGGATATATTCAGTGGACTTGGCTTCGATCTTCTCAAGCTCGGCGTCAGAGATTGCGCTCTTGTGGGAGAAGTCAAATCGAAGCTTCTCAGCGGCCACCAGGGAACCCTTCTGGTCAACACCATCGCCTAGGATTTCCTTCAGAGCGAAATTCAGGATATGGGTTCCGGTGTGGTTATTCCGAATGGGCCAGCGTCGGAGCTCATCATACTCGCAAATGACAGAATTGCCGACAGTAAATGATCCGTATTTCATGAAGCCGGTGTGGAGAACGTATCCAGCATAAGCCTGTACATCGCCAACTTCAAGCTCCGCTTGTCCATCAATGATGATTTTGCCTGTATCATTTTCCTGGCCACCCTGTTCGGCATAGAAGTTCGTGCAGTCGAGAATGACGCCAAGCTGTGCTCCCTCGGGAATATCGTCAGTGCTATTATGGAAAGTTTTTCCATGGTAGATAGCCTTGACGTGAGAAGTGATGTTACCTCGGCCAAATTTGGGCGAGTCGTCGGTTTTTTGCACGTCGTTCATCTTCTCCAGTTTCCCTAGATCGTGGACATCAAGCTTGACTGTGTCCTCAGCAGCCTTCTTCTGACCCTTGCTAGCTTCCTTCGCCTTCAAGCGAGCCTCTTCAAATTCGACGTCATCAATGCGGAGGCCACGTTCCTCGGCCATGATCCGGGTCAGGTCAACAGGGAAGCCGAAAGTGTCGTACAGTCTCCAGACGTCGGCACCATGGAGCATATCGGTGCCCTTAACCTTGGCCTGTTGGGCGTATTGTTCAAATTGCCGCTCACCTCTATCCAAGGTCTTGGCAAATGACAACTCCTCCTCGTCCAAGATTTCGATGACATCTTGCTGCTTGCGTTTGAGTTCAGGGAACATTTCACCCAATTGATCCACAACAGTGGGTACTAGCTTAGCGAAGAAATTCCCGATATCGACCTGGAAATATTTCCGGGCATACCGAGCTCCTCGGCGCAGGACACGGCGAATGACATAGCCACGGCCCTCGTTGTTGGGGATGACACCATCCGAAATAGCGAACATCAAAGTCCGCACGTGGTCTGCAACAACGCGGTAAGCGGTGTCAATTCCATCGACATCATCGGCGCCAAAGTGGCCACGGTATTCGCGGGCTCCAGTGGTATCCTGGATAGCCTGGAAGATCGGAGTGAAGACATCGGTATCGTAGTTGGAAGATTTGTCCTGGAGAATCGACACCAGTCTTTCGAAACCCATTCCGGTGTCAACGTGTTTGTTAGGAAGGGCTCTCAGGGAGCTATCAGGCTCGCGGTTATATTGGATGAAGACGTTGTTCCAGATTTCCAGCACATTTGGGTCGTCCTCATTGACGAGGTGAGCAGCGTTGCGCCCACCGATCCGATCATAGTGCACTTCACTGCAAGGTCCACATGGGCCTTGGTCACCCATTTCCCAGAAGTTGTCTTTCATATCTCCCGGAAGAATGTGAGATTCAGGAACGCCCACCGATTTCCATAGTTCTTTGGCTTCCAGATCCGGTTCCAATCCACCAGCTTCGTTGCCTTCGAAGTAAGTAACGTAGAGGCGTTCGGGGTCTAGGCCGTAGACTTCCGTCAACAGAGTCCACGAATATGTGATAGCTTCTTTCTTGAAGTAGTCGCCGAAACTCCAGTTGCCGAGCATCTCGAAGAAGGTCTAGAGAATTCGTCAGTACTTCTTCTGGCGAAGAATAGAAAGGGGATTCAATACTGACATGGTGATAGCTATCCTTGCCAACATCATCAAGATCCTGTTTCAGGTCAGTCAGTGTACCAAAGCCCCTCTAATAACCCCTCTAGGGTTTACCAAGGCACACCCACGTTATGTTTTCCACCGGCACGGAGACACTATCCAATTATGTTAGCAAAAGTCTCAAGCCGAATTTTTCCGTGATAGTCAATATCCAATACCTTTTGCGAATTCGTTGCGCGCTTCATCTTTCCAAACTCCGACGAGGCGTCAACAGTGCCCAGGAAGATGGACTTGAACTGGTTCATTCCCGCATTGGTGAAAAGAAGAGTCGGATCCGACAGAGGAGCGACGGGGGAGGAAGGGACTGTATCCAAGAATAACTTCAAGTCAGTTCATGTCGTTGGCGGGGGTGGAGGGGTAGTGCAAAAAAAAGAGAGAATGGGCTCAACGCACCGAATGTATGGCCATTTTGTTTAAAATAATCTAAAAAGGTGTCTCGGACTCGCTGAGCGGTCCATTCCGAACCGAGAGAAGTCATCCTGTCGAATTTGGGAGGGTTGGTTGACTGGGAGTGAACAAAGCGAGGGTAAAAGGGTCTGGGTTGATTTCTGCGAAAGAGATGAGTCAAGGCCCGTTCCCCGTTCGTCACCACCCCAGAAACCCGCATCGAGCAACGAATTGAACTTGACCCCAGTACACCTAGGAGGAATTCAACCACTTATTTTTAATAATCAACCACTTCCCAATACTCGAGAGAAAGAGAGAGAGAGAGCGGAGATGACGGGTGAGGGAGGTCACGGGAAGAAGCGCCCGGCCCCAGATGATCCCGATGTCGCGCAACCGTTAACGAAGAGACTTGGAGGCCTACGACTAGGTAGATTGATCTTGAAGGTGTGGAAGTTGTCAAGCTAACATATTTCTAGATAATAGCCTGCCAATCTCCGCTCGGGCCCAACCCAAGGGGCATATTCAGCATATCCATAACCAGCATAACCAACATGACCACATTGACTATCACCAATTTAAACCACTTAACCAAGGGCGTTCTTCCCCCGAACCAATGCTCTTGGATGACACCAAGCATACGACTTACATTCACAACCTGGATCAAGAATTAATCGAAGACGACTCTCCTGGTTTGGTCTTTTCACCATTCGCGAAGAAAGTCCTCTCAGTCCCTCAATCCGTTCTATCCGGCTCGAAACCCTCGGGAAAAGAACTCGTTCTTTATACGGAACCATCTTCCCTCACAGTTCCTAGGGAAAAAGATAATGTTCGCAAGGCAATTCTTGAATCTCGAGCACGAGCTAGAGAGAAGGTTACGGAGAATGAAGCTAGGGAGAATGAAGTAACGGACGAAGATTTATACGATCCAATGGATATTGATTGAAGTATTATGGAGTACGGATGTACAAAATGGGTAATTAAGCTAATGAATAGTATAATTTTGTACCTTCTTAACAAATAAAGGTGTATAGTGTATGTGATAGTACATCGGAGTACATATTAATACTAAGTGTACATTAAAAGGTACATCTACGTAGGACATATGTATGTAGTATGTAATATACACCGGTATTTAGTAATAACCGGAACCACGTGACTCACCGCTAAAAAAATTCTGGTTTTTTTTTTGTGGCTCCGACTAAATATGCACTCGGCTTGATAAAAAAATTTCCTCTCTCCCCCACCATCCCTCTTCCCATCCCTCCCTCAAAATCACATATACAAATTCATAATGGCCGATTCTGAGGTTTACGACGGTGCCGTCGGTATCGATCTTGGTGCGTTCTAACACTACTAAATTCGATCGCACAGTTGCTAATTGCCTTTTTTTTTTGTTTAGGTACCACCTACTCTTGCGTTGCCAAATACGAGGGTACCAATGTCGAGATCAGTACGCTTTCCCCAAAAATTCGATCTTTCTCTCTCAAATACTGACTGTTTAATCAGTTGCCAACGACCAGGGTAGTTACACTACCCCCTCCTTCGTCTCTTTCACCGACAAGGAGCGTCTGATTGGTGATGCCGCCAAGAACCAGGCCGCCATGAACCCTGCCAACACCGTCTTCGATATCAAGTGAGTTCTTGAAAAAAAATTCTTGCGCTTATCAATTCGAGATTGCGCATTCTCCACAATTCTAAATTGGTTCTAACTCAAATGGAACAGGCGTCTCATCGGTCGCCGCTTCGAGGACCCCATTGTCAAGAAGGATGTTGAGTCCTGGCCCTTCAAGGTTATCGACCAGGGTGGCAACCCCGTTGTCCAGGTCGAGTACCTCAACGAGACCAAGACCTTCTCTCCCCAGGAGATCTCCTCCATGGTCCTCATGAAGGTATGGCAAAATATATATTCAAATATTTGTGGGATTTGTTTGCTGACTACTTGAAACAGATGAAGGAGGTTGCTGAGATCAAGCTCGGCAAGAAGGTTGAGAAGGCTGTCATCACCGTGCCCGCCTACTTCAACGACAACCAGCGTCAGGCTACCAAGGATGCTGGTGCCATCGCTGGCCTCAACGTTCTCCGTATCATCAACGAGCCTACTGCTGCCGCTATCGCCTACGGTCTCGGCGCCGGCAAGTCTGAGAAGGAGCGCAACGTCCTCATCTACGATCTCGGTGGTGGTACCTTCGATGTCTCCCTGCTTAACATCCAGGGTGGTGTCTTCACTGTCAAGGCCACCGCTGGTGACACTCACCTTGGTGGTCAGGATTTCGATACTAACCTCCTTGACCACTTCAAGAAGGAGTTCCAGCGCAAGACTGGCAAGGATATCTCCGGTGATGCTCGTGCTCTCCGTCGTCTCCGCACTGCTTGCGAGCGTGCCAAGCGTACCCTGTCCAACGCTACCCAGACCACTGTCGAGATTGACTCTCTCTTCGACGGTGAGGACCTCAACTCCTCCATCACCCGTGCCCGTTTCGAGGACCTCAACGCCAAGGCCTTCAACGGTACCCTCGACCCCGTCCAGCAGGTCCTCAAGGACTCTGGCATGCCTAAGAGCAAGGTTGACGAGATCGTCCTTGTTGGTGGTTCCACCCGTATTCCTCGCATCCAGAAGCTCCTGAGCGACTTCTTCGATGGCAAGAAGCTCGAGAAGGTAAGGCAGCACTGCTACTTGATTTAACGTAAAAAACCAGTTACTTATACTTGTCCTATAGAGCATCAACCCCGATGAGGCTGTCGCCTACGGTGCTGCCGTCCAGGCCGGTATCCTCTCCGGCAAGGCTACCTCCGCCGAGACCGCTGACCTGCTCCTTCTCGATGTTGTTCCCCTTTCCCTTGGTGTTGCCATGGAGGGTAACATCTTCGCCCCTGTTGTCAACCGTGGCCAGACTGTCCCCACCATCAAGAAGCGCACCTTCACCACTGTTGTCGACAACCAGAGCACTGTCCAGTTCCCCGTCTACCAGGGTGAGCGTACCAACTGTGCTGACAACACCTCCCTGGGCGAGTTCACTCTTGCTCCCCTTCCTCCCATGCGCGCCGGTGAGGCCGCTCTCGAGTGTGTCTTCGAGGTTGATGTCAACGGTATCCTGAAGGTCACCGCCACTGAGAAGACCTCCGGCCGCACCGCCAACATCACCATCTCCAACGCTGTTGGCAAGCTTTCCAGCTCCGAGATCGACCAGATGGTTGACGGTATGTTTCTCCCATCAACTATTAATTTTTTTTTTTTGACTGTACGCTGACCTCACAATTTTTTAGATGCTGCCAAGTTCAAGACCTCCGATGAGGCCTTCACCAAGCGCTTCGAGTCCCGCCAGCAGCTCGAGTCTTACATCTCCCGTGTTGAGGAGATCGTCTCCGACCCCGGCATGTCCATGAAGCTCAAGCGCGGCAACAAGGAGCGCATTGAGTCCGCTCTCAGCGACGCCATGGCCCAGCTCGAGGTTGAGGACTCTACCCCCGAGGACCTCAAGAAGAAGGAGCTTGCTCTCAAGCGTCTGATCACCAAGGCCATGGCCACACGGTAAATGCATACATGGGAAGGCATGAACATAGACTTATGGCCAACGAATTTTCCTTTTTCCCGGGACTCTGCTTCTCAGGGAATCTGCACCATGTAGACCTTGGGCAGAGTTGGTCTCTGTCACGCTTTGTTTATGAAGCCGGGCAACTTGGGCGCAGTTTTCTTTTCTTGAAAAGTATGATTTGTTTTGTTTTTTGTAGACGAAGTTCGCCATCTGCAATTTAATGACATTGTGATGATTTCCTCTCAAGTAATACTTAAGTACTTGTTATACTTGGTAGTTCTAATAATGTATGATTTTTGGCCACCAGGCGGAAGGGCGGGTAATGTGGGATACCACCAAACTTGTGCACCTCCGCTCTTAATTAAACCTTCCACATCAATCACTTCCACCATGCAACGCATTATAACCCAATCAATTCGCTCCTTTAACCATCGTCTTGCTGCGCGCCCTCAAGGGACTCAAGTGCTTCAACCTTTATGTCTCCTGCCCCGAAACCCGCGCGCTGTTCCTCTGAACAGCCGTGAGTTTGCCAACTCGCCTGCCCTATACAAGAAAAAGGAGAAGGCCAAGAAAGCTTCCGCTTCTGCTTCTGAACCAGAAGAAAGCTCTAGTGCTCCTACTGAAGATCCCTTTGATCTTTCCCAATTACACAATGGCATTTCCACAGCTGTTGCTCGGCTAAAAGATGATCTGTCCAAGCTTCGCGCAGGAGGACGGTTCAATACCGCAGTCCTAGAAAGCTTGAGGGTCCACCTGAGCAAAGACAGCAAAGACTCCGTCAAATTGGGAGATCTGGCGCAGGTTGTGCCCAAGGGAGGACGCATGGTTACTCTTTTGGCTGCCGAAGAGGATGTAAGTTTATGATGCTTGACTTTATTTTCTTTCTTGTTGCAGCATGAGCCTGCTTTTGCTGTTCCTACAAACCAGTTCTAATATATTTTGCGCAGCACTTGAAACCTCTTACTTCAGCAATTGTCTCCTCAAACCTCTCCCTGACCCCTCAGCCTGATCCTCACAATGCCCTCCAGCTCAACATTCCTATCCCACCACCTACAAAAGAATCCCGCGACAAGAACATCCAAGCTGCCAAGCAAGCATTCGAAAAGGCTGCCGGTGTAGTACGTGACTCTAGGGGTGCCATGCATAAGCGTCTTCAGGATATGCAGAAGAAGAAACTGGCTCGGCCAGATGACGTGCGCAAAGCTCACGATCAGATGGAGAAGGTTACAGAGCAGGGCCAAAAGGAGGTAAAGGATGCATTTGAAGCGGCCAGGAAGACATTGGAACAGGCATAAGAAGCCCAATTGGCAAGCCAAGGGAAGATCATGAGAAAATTATAGCCTATGGCAATGGGCGCTTGTAAAATAGAACTTTGTATATTTAGGTACAGACAAAGGCATAATCGGGGAAGATATTGGGAAAATATAAGGGAAAATGAACCCGATCAACGAAACAAATATAATACAAATCACTTCTAGCTAGTTCACATATCCTTAGGCGCTCTTGGTCTTGGCGTTGCGGCCAGCAGAGACAAGAGATTCAATCTTGGCCATGAACTGTGCGGTCTTTCCGGTTGTCTGGTAGGTACCGTTGTTCCTGAGGTTCTTCGACACCTCTCCCAACACGGCATGGCCATCTTTCCCGACTTCAGACGCGGGGTAGTTACCCTGAACGTATGTTTCTATGAGGGTCTTGGTGGTCTCTGCGTCGATGGGACTAAACTGGACATTCCGAGGCTCCACGAGGTCACCCTTGCGCTGTGAAATTCGATCAGCACGAAGCTGAGCCAATCGCTTGACCTCTTCCAAAGCCTCCGTCTTCTCATTCTCACTGGTGAAGAGAACGTTCTGGCCCTTCCACATGCGTCTTCCAAGCTCATAAGGGGGGATATAGCCATTGGCAACGCGGCCGCTCAGGCTGGATAGCTTCTCATAGATGGCAGCCGAGCGCGAGTTCACGTCTGTGGGGATTGAAGGCCAGGTCTGTTTCAAAGTGGAGTAGTTGATCTCCTGGGGCTCGTAGCGAATCGGGGTTGGTCGGGATTTGATGATTTGCTCTTCCAGAACTTGATCGATAGCCGCACCTTCAGCATCTTCGCCATCGTCTTTCTCGGAAGTTTTGGGGCCCCTGCGCGGGCCTTTTCGGTTACCCTTGGCACCCTTGACACCTTTGGCGCCTTTGCCGAAGGGTTTGGGTTTGCGATTTTGGGGTTGATCGCCGCCACGAACGTTGCGTGTTCTCGGGCTGCGGATAATCTTAGATTGCTCTCCACCGCTAGCTCGTGCTGCCGCAAAAGACCTAGCGTCAATCACTCGAGGAGGACGAGATTGATACTGGTTGGTGCGAGCTGGGGGGCGTTGGGATCGCGAGCTGGGGGTCCATTGGGGTGGCGAGGTGGGGGGGCATTGGGATCGCGAGGCTTGTAGGACATAAAGTTGCCCGATGAAGGGCGGGTATTGGGTTTAGGCTTGTCTAATGACCATGTGTTAGAATTAAAACTCCCAATGGGCCAAATATTTTGAGACGCAATTGCATAAGTGCGTTTATATCGCTTAATGCCTGCTTCCCTTGGATGTACCTACCGGATGGCTTGTCTTGACCTTCGTCGGCCACTGTACGGGTACAGGAGAACTGGCGAGCCGGGGTAGAAATACCGAATTTCGCCCGTTCGCAGTGCAGCGAGATCTGCCTCAGCTGTGGCCGAAACATCTTGTATTCTGAATCAACCAGGTCGTGTCCCTGGAGCGGTTTGGTAGAGAGGCTCAATGCTGTTCGGCGTGGAAAGATTGAATGAAGAATTGCAGTCACGTGAGGCACCGCCTTCCTCTGACCTCCGCTCAAATAAACGCAGCCATTGTCAACTTAAGAAGTCTTTCTTCATTCATTTAATAATTTTTGACTGCAAAAATGCTTCGTCGAAAGCCAACAGCTATTGCTATCACCTCAGAGGATGTTGCTGCCTTTGAAGAAGCCAGACTTCGCAAACTGTCTGAAGAAAACAAACACCCAGAACAGCACGCAAAGGCGACCTCCAATATCAACTTTGACCCCAGCGATGAATTGAAACCACTTCCAGGTGACAAGGCTAGGATTGTCCGGACCCGTGAAGAAAGAATAGGCATTAGTCGACGTGGTTGATTGTCTACACCGCAAACTCGAACCCCCAGACCACCGTTATATTGGAATGACTTGTTCCACATTGCGACACTTCAACATGAGGTACATGACCCAATTGTGATATACTCGCATGTGTTTCTTGATCTTTGAATCATCTGAATCTTCTCCTTGATTCATGTCATTCATCATTAACAAGCAACAAATAGTGTAGGATCTTTGACGTTGAAAACATAACACCCGTCCCATACATCACACACCACACCCTCGTATGACAGCGAGAGATCGAACAATCATAGAGCATGGTGCTTTTGAAGCACCATATGATCATGACATTGATAAGGCGTGGGGTTTCCTCTGCCGATATCTACCAATACCCCAGCATATTCCACATTTCTCCCATGGTGACCTATTGGCTACGACGGTGATTCAACACTACAGAAGCGAGGTGGCACATTTGGAATATCCTCCTGGCAAGACATAAAACAATGTACACTTGTTCATCTCTTGGGCATCTTGACAAGAACCGATGCTTTAAGCGACCTCTCTGTTTTGGCATATTCCGAGGATTTTGTTCTGATCAGAGACTGTAGCATAAAATGGACATCAAGCAACAAAGATATTGAAGAGCGGGGACACTGGGAATCCCTTCAGTGTAGAACAAGTACTATATCACCGCTCTACCAAAATGCCCAGCAATATGAATAGTGTCTATTCCACAATTATCAATTTTTCTCTAGATTCAGTCTACCAAAGAGATCCAATTGAAACAAGCTTATGATGTACAGCAGGATTCATGCATCAACTGTCATCCCAGCCCGGCTGGTCAGAGACGTCATGATGGTTAGGCATCTCTACCCTCTAAGTTTTCCTCGTTGAGCCATGCTCTTCTGGCGGTCGTAATGTAAAAAGAAAATCAAGGAAATGTTTCACAAAAGAAAGAAAATAGGGAATATAGAATGGTGATAGCAAAGGTAGAGATTTCAGATTTCAATGACAATGGTTGCCTGGCATAGTTCAAGAACCAGCAGCAGAAAGAAGAAGAACCCGGCGACCGAATGGAATAGAATCAAGGTCATAGATGATATAGGTATTTGTGCGTCTCATCCTCTTTGACGCTTAGACATATTGTCCGGGCCAGGATCAACTGGGTAATTCCATCGCCGTTTGGTCCCTTGTGGATCGTACACACTAGCAACACTTTGCTGCCAATCTCGTGCCGAAAACACAACTGGAGGTGCTTGGAACTGGGGAGGGGAGAGTGACTGGGTAGACGAGACAGAGGGCACTTTGTTAGGTGTCTCGTACTGGACGGGGTATTGGGGGTTCATAACGCTTTGTACACCCGGTACTGAGGTGTTTATAGGCATCGGCGGAGAGTTTGCGCTGACGGTGGCGGGGTTAACGGAGAAGGCCATGTCCCATTGGCTAGAGCGAAAGATTAGTAAGAGGCCAAGCGAGAGTCGAGTCGTTGGGAGAAGTGGATGATGTACGTACGTGATGATTCGGGTCGGGTCCCAGTGGTGTTCATCGACCGAAGGGGCTTCCAGAGGGTGAGTTGTTGGGGGCTGGTGGGGAACCATTCCAAGTGATTGCATCTGTGAAGATGTGTCGGACTTTGAGTCTTCAGCACCAGTCGAAATCGGAGGAGTTACTGGGTTGTAACGCACTCTGGATTGGAGTTGATTCAAGTGCGGATGGTAGTGCGCATCCATAGGTGGACTGGGCTGATAGGGTTCCGAGGGACTCCCGTATGGGAAGCTAGGCTTCAACTCGAAAGGACGATGCATGTCGGCGGAGAAAGCCAGTCTTAATGAATCGATCTGAGCTTGAATCTCGGGCATCGGCCAGGCGGTGGAGCACGTCTCGAGAATTCGCATATGACGAGTGAAGAATTCACGGGCATCTGAATTGAACTCAGGGTCGGGGGAGGTGATTGCAATCTGCCCATATTAGAATTGCCTTGCTTCTAAATACTCCCACACGTTGTTGAATGCTTACCAGGTGCAGCATCGTACAAGTCAAGATACAATATATAGCAAAATTGATGCCTCTTTGCATGTAGAGTAGGCCAGATAACCCGAACCTTTGCAAGATGGCTTCCTGTAGTCGACAGAGGCTTTTCGCCGAGGAGTAGCACAGTGACATATGGATCTTCCATTCACCACCGGCCGCAAAAGATTGCGAAGCGAAAAGTTGAGGGCGATGTAGCATAATAATGGCGAGGTGGCAATGGGAATGCATATTGCCAACAAAATGAGATGGAAGCCACGGTGCAGAGCCATCGGCAGGATAATTGACCTGTAGGTCTGGAGGGAGGTTGCGAAGCCAATCTGCGAAAAGCGGGTTGATTTGCACAAATCTGGCATCTGCACCCCAGTCCTTTTGCTTCTTGACTTTGTGATAGATATCTGTAATGATGCGAATGTGATGTGCGTTGCGTATGAAATAGGCGTATTGTCTTGAGCGATCGATCTCGTAATGATCAAGGCCTCTGATATCTAGCGTCGGTCGCATGTCCACCGTGTGAGGATCAACCCCGTAATCCGAACGGCCTACTTTGATCAGAAGCTGGTTGGTTTTAATAAATCAGACGTGATAAGAGACTTACCTTGCGGCCCACCAATCATGACCTCAACCACCATGAGAGCCTGCCACACTCTGGTTTGCACCAAGCATTCAATTGGATTGAGTCCACACGGCTTGCCTTCAGCATGACTGCTGTAATGTTCGTGAATGTCCAAATCTTTCGCCATTGAGACAATAGTCTTGACAGTCTGCCATGACCGATAATAGTACCCTTTCTTTGGCAAAGATTCCCTTGCTTTTAGCAGCAAAAGTAAGGCTTGGATAGTACTCAGACGTGGTACATCCATAAAGCTCGTCTCGTGCCCTGGGAAATGTCAGCTTTCGAAGATGGCTGGACGAGTGTCCAGTGTCAACTCACTATTGGCCAAGGCAAGCCACTGGGCTCCTTCTGAAGGCTCATCAGATAAACGACCCGCGCAGGCAAAAAGGGCCTCGAGAAGAAGGGGAGAGATGGAATGGCGATCATGCTGCCATTGATAGTACAGATGGGCACGAGATATGACAGGAACATATGGGTGTATCTCATCGAAGTAGATCTTGAAATAGGCCATTACATCGTCTTCGGCAGGCATGAGCTCAGGGGGAATTCGAATCGTCGCGCCCGATCCGGTTCTGAGAGGTGGTAATTGCTCTTCAGCCTCGTCCTGGACAGGGGCGTCGGGCTCAATTCGATCTGTGCGTTGCCTTCTAATGTATGGGGCTATTGGAATGGGCAGAGTGTTAGCCATTAGTCGCGGGGAAATCCGTAGAAGAACAATGTGCCATACCGATCCCACTCTCGTCAATTTTCAACTCCCCAAGTACATCACTGAGGTTTTCTGCGTGCTCGCTATCAGCATACACATTCCGATCTGACGATCCCATAGATGGAGTTTGTGGCCCAGGAAACATTTGAGGCTGTTGAAAATTTTGGTGTGGTATTGCCATTTGTGGTGACTGAAGATCGTTGTAGATGCTGGGTTGAGCCTGAGGAGGGACGAATTGTGAATACATGCTCATTTGATCATACGATGGGATGGTGTTCATGGTGGGTTGACTGTTGTCCCTGTAAACTGGGGGCGCTGGAAATGTATGAGAGCCCTCGTCTGCGTTGGAGGGTCCTCCAGTCTCGAGAGTAGACTCGCCCTGGCCATCAGGAAGAAAGTCTCCATCTTGCCCGATCGTCGGAGGGACACAGACCAGCTTTAGACGAGTGCATGCAGAGCAAGGCCATGTATTTGTCGTAGCTGCGTCACACTTGATTTTCCTTTTCCGGCAACCATTACAGGCTCGCATCACTAAACGTCAGGCTTATCAGTATTTGTCGACTTGCGGTGGGCAGCTTTTCATACCCTTCAGCCTCTTGTGTCGGTTATGCTCATCAACAAATACATAGTCTACACCGATGAGTGATTAGTTGTCAATACGACATGCAATATACAGATGGCCCTCAGGGACATACTTTTCTGGCCTTCTCTCGGGGACCCGCTGGGGGCGCAAACGAATAACCCTGCATACTTGCCCGTTTGATAACAAGTGGCGGGGTTGGAAAACGGTGTAAAGTATGACGGTAGAGATAACGCAAGCTGGGACTATCAGGGTATCAAGGGAATAAAAAGTCCGTGCTGGTTTATCCACAAGGACCTGCCTTGGGAAATTGAAGGAGGTTTGTCGGTGTGTGTGTGAGAGAGAAGGCGGAGGTTGAACCTCGCACGGCGACACGGAAATTTGTCGCAAGTGATCCAATTCCGCTGGGAGAGACGAACTCCAGGTTGTCCTAATGATGCGATCGACTTGCCGAGGCTCCGCAGAAATTGATCGGCAGAAGTCGCAAAAGACCCGAGACGTGTAATGTTCTGTGAGGCTGTTGGGAAGATGTGCGCTCTCGGCAAACCGAGTGCAATGTATATCAAGCGCGCGAGGCTTGAGATCGAAATAAAATCAGGTTGTCTTGGGGCTCGAATATAGGTGAATAAATAGTCTGTAACAAGCGCAGGGCCCAGTTAGCGTCCCACCCACACCATATA